CTTACCCTAAAACTATCAACATTAAGTCTATCATAAAGTCGACTAATATTCTAAAAGCATTCTTGCGAACCATCGATGTTGTCAATGCAGTTTCCTTCAGTTTCCATACAAAATCACCTCAGATGTAGATAACTCCATCAGGCTTTCAGTGTTGAATCGAAGGTTTGTTTTCACTTTTTATTTCACAACGATTTCTAAGTTCAATCCGCAGCGTATTGATTTCGATGACATCTAAAAAAATATGAGGAATGAATCTACTAAAATGAAATGCGATTGTTAATTACATCACGAAATCAGAAATTAAGCAGTTGACTAGGTAAAACTAATGTTATATTAAACTGTACATTTTTCTTTTTCTTTTGAGAAATAAAATGTTGATGTTACTTGAAATAAGATTAGCTTAGAGTTTTTTTTATTAGAACAAGAAAAGAAGATATCCTTATGTGTGTATATGTGTTTATGTGCAAACCATTCCAAAGCTTCAATTTAACAGGTAAACATCAAGCAAGCTTTATAGAGTCCAAATCACGGTCTACCGAACCTTCATAAAACCAAAATTGTTTCTTGGGTTCTCAGCATTATTTTAACATTTTTGGGGGTTGATGTCTTCCTAGAAACTGTTTGAAACTAAATTGCCCATCTTGGGATCAAGCCCGGCTTAGTGGTTAGCATCAATGCCTCCCCAGCTAAAGTCACGAGATCAAATCACATCTCCGGAATACCTCACGTATAAACCTGTGCATTGGTCCTTTCATCGGCGGCGCACAGCGGGGCGGTTCCGTACAATCGCTGGCCATGCATAAAAACCTCTTCAAATCAATGAGAATCCAAATCTTGTTGTTTTTGCATTTAAGTTGTATTTCTGATGTTATGGACAATTTTATATAATTTTGTTAAGTACTTTTTTAGAAGAATTTTCAGTCTTTTTTAAAGAGTAAGTTCAAGTTTGAAGTTAAGAACAACTGCCTTGTTTGGCACTGAAAATTTAACTTTATCTGAAAATCGTTAATTCCAAGCGCAGGGAGAAAGCCATTCAAACAAGCTCTACCACATGCCGGACCATTTCATATTCATCCCCGTTAAGCAATTGGGATCACTTATTACATGTCACCATGGCTATTTGGTTCAAAGAAATTGTGCTGTAACGGCGCCGGTGGTGTACTGGTAAGCGTGATTACCTCTCACCCCAGCAGGCCTGGGTTCAATGCCAGTCGGCGCCGCCGGGATGTTCTGAGGCATTACATCTCTGATCACGTCTTCCTTCGGATGGGAAGTAAAGCCGTTGGTCCCCGGTTCATGAGTTGATGGGTCGATAGGTAGGGTCCAGGTGTGGGAGCTGCCTTCCTGGCACGTCGGTAGCATTGGTGCTCAGCACGGAAAACAAGATCGACGGAAAACAAATCAAGGAAATTGTGCTGCATATCGGAGAGGCATTTTGATCCAGCTTGGGAAACATGAGAAAGCTTAATAATTACAGATCATTCGGGTGAGACCCTTCCTTTTTATTTGTTTACATTATATTTCAACCAAAAGAGTAAGGTGGGGCAAAAGTTCGTTTTGAGTTTTTCAATGCATGTGCAAAATAAAACTCTGGAATGTATTTGTTTTTAGACTTTCCCACAAAAAAAATCTAAAAAATTGGTGGTGTTTTCGAAGAATTATAGGTAACAGTAGAGAAAGTTCAACTCGTGTCCCAAACCCATGTAATCATTCACAAATGTCTAAAGCGCATTTATTTACACTAAACAATCATAAATGTAGCAGAATGTGACAAAAACATCGGAAAAATTGCGAACCTTTTTGCATTTATTGAAGAAGAAGACTATTTTTGAGTGGATTACGTTGTTTGCCAAATTCTGACAATATCTGGGCACAAACATGTGGTTTATTTATTTCCCTTACCATGGGGTATGTAAAGTTTTGTAGTGACAAAACTATTCAAAACTGTCATTAAATTTGTAATCCTTTTCTCCATTGCTGAAACGTACTTTTGCCGCACAAAAAGGAAAAAAAATCGTTTTGAACACTCTTCCGGTCTTCTTGGTGTTTTTTTAGCAGCAGGGTTCGTTTTGGTAAACGATAAGCTGAATTGATGTCCTAACGATCGTATAACGCGAAGGATCTTGGGATTGAACCCACGGTCTTCTGCTCAGTAAGCAAAAACGTTTGCCACTAGGCAGACGAGCTCCTTTTTAATCAATAACGAATCTTGAATGTGGATGGGCTTGAGATTAGACTCATGATGTTCTGCTCAGTAAGCAAAAACGATTGATCTAAGGCCACCGAGCCTCTCATATCACATTATAGCGTAACTCAAGTTTTTATAACTATTCAAACCCGGCACCGACGACAACGAAAAGTTTTACAAAATACAGGATAAACAAGCGATATTTTAATATTTTTAATATGAAAGGATCTGGGACCGTGTTTTTCTCCTCAGTAAGCAAGCCACTGCAACCGACGATCTTTGAAATCCTAAAACTAAAAGCTACGAAAGAGTACTTAGGCCTTCATTAAGATCCACTTTCACGCGACGTTCAATGTTTCGCTTTTCTCTTTACACATGGTTCAGACAATCATAACAAGCTATGACCGACGTGACGATTGTTTAAGACCTGGTTGAACAAGCTATTCAAATGAAATTACGTTCTCGATGTAATGAACAACAGAAATACGCGATAATTCATATTTTCAGCGGTTGATGTTTAATTTTAAATATACTAACGGTACTGCCTACGACTACGACGGCGATTACGACAGCGACTACGACGGCGCCTACGACAACGACAACAGAGAATTTGTAATACCCCGTTCACATTACAGCGTATATCACGTGATATACGCTGTCTTGCAATGAGCACTCATACATCTAGTTTTCACTGGAAATCCTATGTATGAGTGCTCATTGCAAGACAGCCTATATTACGTGATATAGGCTGTAATGTGAACGGGGTATAACTTACCATTTGTCTAGGATAAATACCTTTGCTCGGCACCTCCACTGGTTCTTCATGACCGCTATCTGTCACTGTATGCAAAAAATCGAATAGCAATTACCTTTGTTGTGATACTTCCTGGATTGCCATGGTGATCTGGGAGGAGGTTCGCATATAGTGCTTTCCCCAGGAACCGTTCACGGCCACCAGCTACCGCCCGTCCAGACTTGGGCATATCCAGCGAGACATCCTTCAGCTAACTCACAATCTCCGGCACTCAATGCAAATCGCAGGCACACTTACGCTAGTTACAAAAAAAACACCTGTGCAAAGAAACGGATCCAATAAACGTCACTCTTGCGAAAGCACACCCGTCATCGTCGAACGGCAAAAAAGGAATCGGTGGGCAATTTTGTGGTACGGATTTCCAAAATCAAACGGGAATGCACGAATTTATTTATTTATTTATTTTTGTGGCCATAAAAATTACATGAGATTTCCGACATGATTGAAGTGCATCCTCTTGGATGCAATATTAAAATTAATTTTTTGCTTTCTATGGTCGAACTTTTGCCCCGACTTACTCTATTTATAAAAACTTTACCAAATAAGGTCCTAACATTTCAATTGAGGTCCTTGGCTAGCTTCCCGCATAGAAAAGAACCATTTCTAGAACAGTTCAAACTTCACTGACACCTTACTAGCTATGTTAACTTTATATAAAATAGTTTTGTTATGGTTTATGAAATGTAATAAACAGAAAGGAAACATTACTTTCTACTGTTACAGTTTCTGGTATGTTCCAGCTACATTTTGTTACGGTTGATCAACTATATGAAACTATATTGAACTGTTTCAAAACATTACGAATAAAAGTTGTATACAACTTGTACAATGCTTACGTGTTTCGTGCTTATGGTTGCTTTATGTTTTTTTTACAATTGGCACAAACAGAGGAAAATGCTTTTTTTTGGAACGGTGGCCATGAGTTCACGGTGTTTTTTGCTTTATTATTTTGTTTTTAAAACTTTACTCCAAATGGAAAACCTGTTTTATCGTTGAGAAAAATGAATAACGCAAGTAAAACCAGCTTAAAGTATAAAGTATTTCTAAAAAAGCATGTATTTCCTACAAAACTATCTATGGCTTTTGAGAATCCCAACTGTCATGGATAAGTAACAGTGGTCTACATGGGTTGGACATTTTGCTTCTTCTGGCTCACATCAACCCAAACAGGAAATCGAAGCAGGTTCATTTTGCTAGTGAAAATTTATCTTTTTATCAGAAATAGAATGGAGGTTCGTTTTGCAGGGTGTATTTTTTTTAGTGCTATGTTTATCTGCAGAACAATAAAAACAATTTCCAAGTGAAGGTAGAGGTATTCACAAAAAATAATCTTGTAAATCACATTTAAATTAAAGAACAAACTATATGTTCAAAATCATTAAGAAAATTAAATTCCATGAACTTCAATATTCACCATAAAAACGCGCACTGCACTCGTGGTGCGCACGAATAGCACAGACGGGCGAAAACAGCAACGCACTAGTGCTGTCAAACCAACGCAACATAAAACATGTAAATAGTAGCATAGGATGTACAGAAAATGTAAATAAAAAGTTAGTTGAAATCAGCATCTCGTCGCGTATAGATGAAAGTTGCTCTACTTCCGTGTGTGGTGTCCGAAGTGCCTCGTTCGCGAAACCCCTTACACGTAAGTGCCGTGTGGAGTGAATCCGTTTTTGTCGAGCTAATTAATTGCGGTGGAAGGTGAAAGAACCACAGCCAGGAAATTTTTTCCACCGTCGTACCGGCAGATCCTTGTGTTCTTACTTGACCAACCGCTCACGAGCATTGTCTGGCGCAATCATCCCGATCTTCCGCTGCAGATCTTCCAGCTACTCACTGTCACCTATGGCTACTGCTTGCTTCTGCAGGACTTCCACTCCGGCAATGGTTTTCTAATAGCCAAACCGTTCTTGATGCCATTCCACAGGAGCTTCGGGAAACTGAAACTTTACTTGACTTGGACCACGAAGCCTCCGTCACAACGTTGGGTTTACGATGGGAGCCGGCTACCGATCTCCTTTCCTTCAAGCAACCGAAGTGGACGGAGTTTGCCACGTTAACGAAACGGGCAATCCTGTCACAAATCAGCAGTTTGTTCGACCCACTAGGTCTCATCGGGCCGACCATTTCGAAGGCAAAGATTTTGCTCCAAGGATTATGGAAACTCCAACTCGACTGGGACGCGGCAGTCCCACCAGTATTTGTAAGCAATTGGTAGGAATTCAAGCAAAAGCTCACCGTTCTCACTCAACTACGTATTCCTCGACACGTTCTCAGTTCAGGTTACGCAAGGCTGGAAGTTCAGGGCTTCATCGATGCATCAGAGGCTGCATATGGTGCCTGTCTGTACCTCCGTTCGATAACATCTGCTGGATCCTGCACAGTTCGCCTCCTGATGTCAAAATCAAAGGTCGCTCCTATAGATACCAAAAGCATTCCTCGACTCGAGTTGTGTGCTGCTCTGCTCCTGTCCAAACTTCTGGTTCAAGCCATGGACAGCTTCGATATTTCCGCCACGATATATTTGTGGACGGATTCCACCATTGTCTTAAATTGGCTCTCCGCAACACCGTCTACGTGGAAGACGTTTGTGGCCAATCGTATAGCTGAGATTCAGGAGCTCACCATTCATGCTGTCTGGAATCACGTTCCGTCCAAGAACAGTGCAGCGGATTTCATCTCTCGGGGCATGAATCTCGACGAACTCGAAAGGAGTTCACTGTGGTGGCACGGACCGCAGTGGCTTGGCACGTTAGCTATACCATGGCCTGGTAAGTACTCTCCAACAAAATCGTTACCGTCGGATGAATCAGAAGCTCGCAAGATCGTCGTACTTCCAGTCGTTGAAGATGAAACGACCAATGATTTAGTGTTCCGCTACTTCAGCCTTCGTCCGCTGCTTCGAATAGGCTCTCTCATACGAAGGTTTGCCGAGAATTGTCGGCGTCGCAAGAATCATCAAGATCCTCTTGTGGGGCCGCTCACCGCAACCGAAATCGATCAAACTCTACTCGCCTTAGTGCATCGAGCTCAAGAGCAGCACTTTGAGAAGGAAATCCGTCAACTTTTCACCACTTATCAAGTAGATCGCAAGTCCAAGCTCCGATACCTTCATCCACAGCTTGTGGACGACATTATTCGTGTCGGTGGTCGGTTGCACAACGCACAGATCCCGATCGAAGAGAAGTATCCGATCATCCTCCCGGCCAAGCACCGACTGACCGAAATGATAGCGACCAAAGAGCACCAGAAGACGCTCCACGCTGGCCCTGGATTGTTGCTTTCGTCCTTACGTCAACGATTTTGGCCTCTTGGCGGTCGGAATTTAGTTCGCCAGGTCATCCACCGATGCATGACGTGCGCCCGAGCTAAACCGAAATCTCTCGAACAGCTGATGGGACAACTGCCTCCTGTTCGGGTCAACCAGGCGCACCCATTCCAGAATGTCGGCATAGACCTGGCCGGCCCGATCTACGTGCGCACATCGGTGAGAAACAGACGTACTCCGTTCTTCAAGGCATACATCGTGGTCTACGTATGTCTCGTAACCAAAGCCGCTCATCTCGATCTCGTGTCTGACCTCACCAGCGAGGCATTCATTGCCAGCCTTCGAAAACTTCGTGGGGGCGAGGAGAGAGCTAGAAGAGCTACGGAAACTGTTCATGTCCCAGCAGCACAAGGAGTCGGTAGCGCGAGAGTGTTCAGAAAATGGAATCCAATTCCACTACATCCCACCACGTTCGCCTTCGTTTGGTGGAATCTGGGAAGCCTGCGTGCTATCAGTCAAGACCCTGCTCCGCAAGATTCTTGGCAATGCACACCTCACTGAGCCTGAACTACAAACTGCTCTAGTGCAGGTGGAGGCAATGCTCAACTCACGCTCTATTACTCCACTATCAGACGATCCTTCCGACGAGTTCGCTCTCACTCCAGGACACTTCCTGATCGGCAGACCACTGAACGCAATGCCCAATCCTGACCAGCAGGACATTCCCGAGTCCCGCTTGACCCGGTGGAGACGAGTACAGCAGCTCACCCAACGTTTCTGGTCCCGTTGACACAAGGAGTATCTGGTTACACTGCAAAATCGCTACCGGTGGAATCAAGTTCTCGACAACCTCGCCATCGGTTCCATCGTCGCCCTCAAGGACGAGAATGTTCCGCCACAAAAATGGCCTCTCGGGCGCGTGATCAGCATCCACCCTGGTACCGACGGACGAGTGCGGGTCGCCACAGTAAAGATCAGTTCAGGAACAACCAAGCGTGCCATCTCAAAGCTGTGCCTACTTCCAGTCGAGATTGATCCTGCCATCGTAACTGCGAATGTGGTTCAAAACATCAGTAATTCTGCTAAATCGTCGTTGGAAGAAGACCTTCGCTTGATGAACCAAGCCGCTGGACCAGCTCCCGGCCCTTGCTCAGGGAACAGAGCCGCCGGACGAGTTCCCGGCCCCTACTCGGGGAAATGAGTCGCCAGACGAGATCCTGGCCCATGCTCGGGGGAATCGAGCGGTTCCTGATACAACTGTAAAGAGTCAAGCTCGCCATGTGGGTTCGGAGAACCCCATGGCTCGGACTTGACACTAGTTAAGTACCACCTCTTTCATTTCCTCCATACAGATGTCCCTTCTTTACAGCACACCATTCGATACCAAATTGTTTGTCGCCTTCCGCCAATGAATTAGAAGCTGGAAGGAAGCCTGTTGCGACGAACTGCACCAACAAATCACCCTCCAGAATCTGTGATCCACCATCATTGAAGAAGAGTCGTAGAAGAATTTTCCTTGCCGGTGAACGATGAATTCCCGAAATTTCATGGCGGCCGAAATGTTCAAAGTCATTAAGAAAATTAAATTCCATGAACTTCAATATTCACCATAAAACCGCGCACTGCACCCGTTGTGCGCACGAATAGCACAGACGGGTGAAAACGGTGAAAACAGCAACGCACTTGCGCTGTCAAACCAACGCAACATAAAACATGTAAATAGTAGCATAGGATGTACAGAAAATGTAAATAAAAAGTTAGTTGAAATCAGCATCCCGTCGCGTTTAGATGAAAGTTGCTCTACTCTAACGTCAATATGTATGGTAATTTCTACCAGTTCAAAGTATATATTGAAGCTAACAACAATGGTTGGTTCTAAAACGTACTACCTTATTCGAATTTTAATGGAAATTGGTTTCACATTTCCAACTTGAACCTTTTCTGATGTGGTTCGGCTATAGTTTCTTTGCAAAAAATGTATGGGAAAAAGTAAGATTTCGTATGGTGAACGTTCTTAACCACCCATTATTCGTATGGTTAGGTCTTCGAAAACCTTAATCAATATGGTCAAAACGATACCTAGGTATGGTTCGATTAAAGTTGACTGAACCATTCTCATTATGGTTTTCACAGGAAGATAAACCATTTTCAATGTGGTAACCGTATGGTTGTGATTTATGCGGGCAATCATCTCATGATATTTTCAATTCGTTGATTATGTCCGGTGTCGATTCAAAATGCTTCTCTATCTTCAAGTAGCTTCGTAACAGGGTATGTCTCGCTCAGGCTTTATACTAGAACTAGGGTAGAGAAGTACTTCGGCCTAATCGCCCATTTTGGGCCTATCGAGCAGAAAACATAAAAAAAAATCCATAAAGGGCGAACACGAAATTATTGCGACACCGAAAATGTCATGCCAATTTTCTTATAATGTTTAGAATCAAACCAAAATTTTAGGGTAGTTTTATACATATATTTACTTCAAAAATCAAAAGAAAAGTTAATCGATGGAGCCTTGAGTGTAAAATTGAACGCATTTTCGCTTGATGCCCTCCATCAAAGTCTTTACAGTGTCATCCGATACCAGTTTCTCAGTTTTTTTTTCCATTTTCTTAACATGTCCTTCTCGTCTTTGACTGTCTTCTTGCTCTTCTGAAGTTCCCGCTTCATTATTGCCCAGTACTGCTCCACCGGGCGCAGCTCCGGACAGTTTGGCGGATTCATGTCCTTTGGAACAAAATGGACAGAATTGGCCTCATACCACTCCAGGACACTTTTAGAATAGTGGCATGATGCCAAATCTGGCCAAAATAGCGGAGCTTCGTCGTGCTGCTGCAAGAACGGCAAAAGGCGCTTCTCGAGGCACTCAGATTTGTAGATCTCGCCATTTACTGTGCCCTTTGTCACGAAAGGCTCACTACTCAGTCCGCAAGAGCAGATGGCCTGCCAAATGAGATATTTGGAAGCGAACTTCGACATTTTCTTCTTCTTAAATTTGTCGTCCACATCGAACTTGCTCTTGCCGGTGAAAAACTCCAACCCCGGAATTTGCTTAAAATCGGCTTTTATATACGTTTCGTCGTCCATCACACAGCAGCCATATTTTGTCAGCATCTTCTCGTAGAGCTTCCGTGCCCGAGTTTTAGCAGTCGATTGTTGCCGCTCATCGCGGTTTGGGAAGTTCTGTACCTTGTATGTATATAGTCCAGCTCTCTTCTTTGCATTCTGGACGTAGCTCTGCGACATGCCGATCTTTTTAGTCAAATCACGGCTTGAGACGTTGGGATTTGCTTTAATCATCCGCTTCACCATTTCCACCGTCTTTTTGTTCTCCGGTCCCGGTTCCCGTGGTCCAACATCAACCGCTCCTGGAACCGCTTCAACACTCTGGAGACGGTTGAATGGTGAATGTTCAACATTTTTCCCAACTGCCGGTGCGACAGGTCAGGAAATTCCAGGTGTTTGGAAAGAATTTGTTCTCTCAACTCGCGTTGGTTAACCTCCATTTTCGTTGAATCGAAAAACACGACTTCGAGTTTGACAGCATGTACACAATACACATCAATGAGAAAGTGTGCAAAATTTGGTTGATTTTTACCCAATGATTAAAAAGTTATGCCCTGTTGAATGTGTCGCAATAATTTCGTGTTCGCCCTTTAATTTCAGAGTTAACAAGTCAATTATGCGTTTGGTACACTACTTTAGTTAATAAGCTACCGAAAGAAGTAAATGAGAACGCGTGATATGAAGGTTTAAACCCATTATTCCCAAAAACAAAAGAAGCGTTCCGACCGAATCAATTTTTATCTTCATCCGATAGGCCGAAATGAATTCATTGGCGTTTCAATGGCGTTTCAATGCGTTAGGCCGAGTTCAGAATCCGTAGGCCGAGTTTGGCGTCAAGAAGTAGTGTTAGACTTTTGACAATATCTCAACGATTGGTTTCTCTTTATCAAATCTTACGGTACGTACGGAAAGGTAAATAAATTTGGAAGTCATCAGTAATAATAACATTCTGTTTTGTGCTAAACTGCGCTAGATTAAGAAAGACTAAGTGAGGGTTGTGCCTAATAGGCCGGAAATGGGGTAGTTAACCCTACTTCACTCGGAAAACTGTAGCATAAAAAAAATCAAACACTTTTCTTCCAATGACACCAAAAGAAATTCTTAAAATTTACTCTGTAAGCTATCGTGGTAGGAATAACGGCAAAATGTCCGATTGTCCCGTGCGACGTCTGGACATGTAAAAATATGTTTATATGAAATATGAAATTTTCCAAGTGTGTAGTTCTGGTAAACGTGATTTATGTTCATGAGTTGTGCTTGATATCGTGAACCTGTTCTCGAAAACGGGAACATGGTTCATGGACTGTAAAATGTTAACATTAAAATAATTTTCAATATTTTAAATGGAGTGAGGAAGTGAAAGGAAAACAATGGAAGACTTGAGGCAGGTTTCAACCAAACCCCAAACTGTCTAGCTAGCGTCGATTCAGCTGATGGAATGAACACACTTTCAGCACAACAAATCAAAGGATCTCCGGTCACCATGAACGTAGGCTATCAGCACATTTGACTTCCATCAGAGCGGCGGGAGCAAGAATACCAGATGCGTTCGGGGATCCTTTTCTTAGAGGTTTAAAGGCAGTTTGATGATTCGTCCTAGAAAGTGGCGTTGTGTCAGACCACCATTCTGATGGTAAGGCTCAGCTGAATTCACTAATAATCAACACACTATTCGCGATGGATCCGAGCACTCTGTAAGAATAAATTCGACAACAGCTGAAAATCACAGCTGCAGCTTTGCATGTGATCCAAGTTCACGGTGTCAGGAACAAAAATCAGACTTATGGGTTCAAGGATCACGAAAACATGATTTTTATTTTGTGATTTCAGTATCGTTACGAAATCGTTGGTCGCGCTGAACAGGCGTGAACTAAGTTCATACATTTGGGATTTATTTCATGAAAATGTGAAGTTCAGTTTATCGTAATTTTTTGTTTTGTTTTGTTGATTTTTTTTTGCGAGTAGAGATCGAAGAGAGACATGAAAAAATTAAAGGCGTCAGTTTTTACCCCGTTGTTTTTGTGTTTTGTGAAGTTTTAATTAGGCCGTTCGCAATGCTGAGTTTCAAAATTGTTTCAAACTACTCTACAGTTCTAAAATTAAAAATTGTCAAAAATTCAACTGCAATACTATCAGCGCAACGCACAGTTTTAAAAGGTATTTCAGATATTTGATAACGACACAAAAGCATTTGTAAACAAACTTTCTAATGCCCTTAACACGCGAACCAAAGTACGCCCACGCAAACCAATACCATTTTCGGAAAGGTGATAGTTGCCCCTATTCAATATATTTGGTATTTATCCCTACATATGTGTGTGCATCTGCAAAGTTTGTTTGCTTCGGTGATTTTAGCACGGACGGAGAAGGTGATTCTGATTCTAGAACATGTGTTCTGGCACAAGATGGTTATAACAACGTAATCCAGTGTCAGGTACCGAGTTCGCAGAGGTCCTTGAGATCGGTGATGTATTTGAAGTAATTGGTATCTAGGGTGAATATATGAGAGACGTGATTTAAATTGTTAGACTGTTGAAAATCTTCCGAATAATACTTGATCAACCTGAAAACTTGAAAAAATATCATGAGAACTTTTTGGAGATCTCTGATCACCTGAAGGACTTTGGAATATTTTCTGAGTCACCTGGTATCATGAGAGCATATCTGGGAGATGTGATTTCAATTGTTGGACAGTATGAGATCTTAAGAATAGAACCTGATCAACCCGCAGTCTTGAAAGCGAATCCTGAGGTTATGGGGATCTCTGATCATAGATGTAGATATCGGGAGATTTCGGAAACTGTTCCATCGCTAGTAGGTGTTAGGACGTGCCATTCCCGTTTAACTTTCCTTCCTAGTGCTTTTATAGTGTCCTAATCTTGAAAACAAATCGTTCTCTCTTTTACAAGTTGTAAAAAGTTCACTTTTGCAAATGTTATTCTCCAACGTGGTACAAAACGAGCGTGTGACTTTAAAGATGTCTTGTATTTTTTCTGCTACTTATGGCTGCTGGAGAGCTTCTCGCAACAGCATCACACGCATTAAAATCACTCCGCAGAGCACACCCTGTTTGACACGAGACGGGAACTGTGGTACTTAAAATAAAAACGGATTAATCCATCAAACAGTGACACG